TGCCTTGGTCCTAACCAAACCTCCGTGATGACCCGAACCATGACCTCAGTCGTATCGTGACGACGCAACATGGCATGACAAATGGCACATGAAAAGAGAAAAAAATGGTCACCGAGAAATCCAGAATTGACCTTCCCCCCCCCNATAGACATTGTTGTATTTTCATACATAACCTCTATGGTCCAATCACATTTATTTCTACATTAGATATAAACACGCACACATAACTGTAAAGGCCTGAAGACGAAGTTCCAAAACCAAGCACGTTCGCTATACTGTTTGGCTTTTGATATTCCTATGGGAATCTTCCGTGAATCATGGATATAAGATTTCGCAGTATGACTCAAGCGGCGAGAAATATGGGCAAGACTCACCTGAACAGTGAAATCTGAGTTGTCGGACGGATCCTCAGTATCGGAGCCGTGCGCGATTCTTCCGGGGTGTTCCAAGGATTTTCGACGTGCAGTAGTAGCACCTGGTATGGGATATTTCTCACACCTCTGTGATTCCACAGAACCAAATGGGGCAAATGCATGACTATCGGAAGGTGTTCGACAACGGCTTGGCCGCTTTACCGATTTTAATTCACCATTTGTGTGTATCGAAAGATAGCCGGTAGAATTAATGCTGATTGGAGATGTAGATTGGTTGGGCAGTATTTGCATAACGGAGCTACGGGAAACATGGGAGTTCAGAAGAGCATCTTGTTCATCGGTCTCAGTCTCGGGAACATCCTCATTATCTGAGAACCGTTCGGGTAGAAATCCGGAAAAGCGAGAGTTTATCCTGGAGGATTTAGCTCGATGACTGGAGGCGAATGCAGTCTCTTCATCGGCAACAAATACATCATTACAGTCATCGGTAGAAAATGATAACCGTTTGGTGCCGGGGCTAGCGCACATGACGGATTGTTTCGGCCATTCAATACCCTCATTCAAACGGTGAACATCCTCATCTGTGCAGTTCCTGTGGGAATGATCGCAATGATTCTGGCGAGCACCAGATGAGGTTAACCAATCACCTGAACTCTTGGCCGCAGAAGATAGTGGCAATATGGCAACTGTACCGTCCAAAGACAGATTGTCTGAGTTCCTCTTAGTGGTGGTTCTGGATTCGTAATCAGGTGGAGAAAAAGTGAACTGACCAGGATCGATGTCAAAAGGCGATAGGCAACAGTCTGTGTAGGCAGTTGTATTGGTCAAGTCACCCAGAAAATTCCGCTGAATATGACCGTCAATCTCTGTAATACCAGATACTTCTTCAATAATCGATTCGTCAATGAACGTTGGTGGTGGTGGTGGTCCTTGGGAAAGATCGCTAGGGGCAACGATTCCATTTGTCTTGTTTGGTTCTGAGAGCATTGCAAGCGTGGAATCGGGCGCGTGTGTTGTTGTTAAGTTCGGAGACAGTTTCGGTGATTCGGTCGACAAGATGGCAGTACGAGCCTCGTTTAAACACACAATGCCCATCCCATTTTTCGCTGAGGGAAACAAAGCGTGTCGGTAAAGATTGTCCCAGAGGCACAAATTGGGTAAACCATAGCTGGGGACAATTAATTGCTGAAAAAGACAAAAAGCAAGGGAACAATGACAAAGGATGTCCAAGCAGGAATACGAAAAAATACGGAATGCTATCGAGTTCAAGCAGGAATAAATCAGCTATGCGGTGCTGATTGGCATACAAAAATCCACCACAGAAAACGGGTGAGTGAGATCCATACAAGGAACACAACCAGCAGACCGTGAATTCGCATAAACTAAACCAGACAGTAGTTGATTCGGTTGGTAATGACCTAATGGCAATGAAAATCAGTTTATTTATGCATGAGATTATTTCGACATGGTTTTATTTGCTTTGTATTTAAATTTCTATGCGGGTGAGTGTCGAAATTATGAACAAGAATCAGAAAGTAGGAACAAGATGAGGGGTTTGCATGCCGTACAAATCAACTTAGTGAATTCACTGTTCGATTGATGAAAACCTTCATTCAAGATAGACCAAACCACAATGACCACATCATTCAGTCCCAACATGCAACTGATCATCCTTCAATATTATTACCATGATGTAAAATTATTATAACAGAAGTGACACGATATACGAGTGACGGACAAATCACTCACCTGTTCTCCCGGTTTGTAGAACGGGTTAGTGACCCGCGGATTGAGACGCGGTGATAGTAGGGCCCAGACAGAACATGTGCGAGTGCCTAAACTCAGCGTTTGACGATTTTCCTCTGAGTTGCACAGAAATGTTCCAAACAATCCGGAATAGATGTGCAGTCCTAACTTGACCTGAAATAAACAAAGAGCGTGCGTGTTTACGTATAACCTTGTACTGAACCATCCTACAGAGCCGGGGAAAAGATTAAAAAAATGTAACATTGAGTGAGGCGTGTCCGCAAGTGAAGTATATATATATATATATATATATATATATATATATATATCATAAACTTCACAAATTTGGCGCAACTGAAATAACGTGTTTCGCATGAGCGGGTATGTTTTTTGGTTGTTGAGTGATCACATGGTTTGATAGCACGACATGGACTGATTTACGTCACCCTTCTGTGAAGAGAAGCCCAGGTTCGCTAGGATGCACAAACGTGCTTTGGGACAATTCGAGAGGAATGAATTCAAGAGGTTTCGCTAATTTCTCCTCGACCGATGATCGATCACGTATGATTGTGAACGAGGCGCAATATGACATACCAGTGCGTGTCTTAAGAAGAATACGAATACAAAGCGAAACGACACAAATATGACAAATGCCCAACTGGACCAACAGACTGATGAGTAGGTAGCAAAGTGGGAAAGCTCACCAAGAATGTCTCGCTAAATTCGAAATAATTCGGAAACTGACGACGAACTTGATGAACGCAATCGAGCCACTGAAGGAAGATGGGACTTCGTTCATCTGGATATGCGTTGCAACCTCCTTGGCCACATCGATCGGCAAATTTGTGTCCGAAATAAAGCCATTCTTTCTCAACAAGAATCGTGAATCCCTAACAGGAAAATAGCAATGAAAGATAATCAAGTAACAATGATAAAAATAGGATGACGGACGGACGTCCAAAACACTGGGCACAATAAAAAAGCGAAAACAATTTACCTCAATGGTTCGATAGTACGGATCCGCTAAAAGCTGGGCGAGCGAGCTTATTTGAGATGTACGATCCCAACCATCAGTACAATGAACCATCACAGGGCGTCCGTCCACTTCCAAAGCGAACGCGATATCCAAGGCACTTTTAATTAACTGGGCAATATAGTTGAGCCAGGAAGTCTTTTCTAGCAATGAATACCAACTGAAACAGCAGAGCAGAGAAAGGAGGGTAAGTACCAATCGGAGGAAGTCATCTACCAAAATATGATTGCGAAGTTCGT